CTAGGAGCAAGGACACTACTAGGGGCTCCTGGCCTTACTACTAGGAGCAAGGACGCTACTAGGGGCTCCTAGCCTTACTACTAGGAGAAAGGACGCTCCTAGGGGCTCCTGGCCTTGCTACTAGGAGCAAGGACGCTACTAGGGGCTCCTAGCCCTACTACTAGGAGCAAGGACGCTACTAGGGGCTCCTAGCCCTACTACTAGGAGCAAGGACGCTACTAGGGGCTCCTGGGAGCTCCTGGCCTTGCTACTAGGGACGCTACTTGGGGCTCCTGGCCGTACTACTAGGAGCAAGGACGCTACTAGGGGCTCCTAGCCCTACTACTAGGAGCAAGGACGCTAGTAGGCTCCTGGCATCGCTACTAGGAGCAAGGACGCTACTAGGGGCTCCTAGCCCTACTACTAGGAGCAAGGAGGCTACCAGGGGCTCCTGGCATCGCTACTAGGAGCAAGGACGCTACTAGGGGCTCCTGGCCCTACTACTAGGAGCAAGGACGCTACTAGGGGCTCCTAGCCCTACTACTAGGAGCAAGGACGCGACTAGGGCGCTACTAGGAGCAAGGAGCAAGGACGCGACTAGGGCGCTACTAGGAGCAAGGACGCTACTAGGGGCTCCTAGCCCTACTACTAGGAGCAAGGACGCTACTGGGGGTTCCTGGCCTTACTACTAGGACAAAGACGCTCCAGGTTTATACATCCCGTTGCTCGGAGCGATCCTCCGGACCACCATCGATCAGGGCCGCCACTGGGGGGCAGGGTTTCCCAGACATCTTGTGGTTTGGATTGGTTTTTCCGACAAACGAGCAGTGGTCGGACCTACCAAATTGGATCCAAGGAGCAGCTCTGCCTGATGCTTTTAAGAGAAGCAGGGGAACTCCCTGCTGAATTCTCAGATGGCAACAGTTGTTGGAAGGATCGCATATTCAGTTTTGATATTGGAACCCGATTTGAGTTTATGCTGTACTTGAAGCGTATCGAAAGTGTATATTCCGAAGTGCCATTATGACTTGAAATCAACCATGAGGTCACTGGTCGGCTTCCAGACGGTCGTTCAATCGTAGAAAAGGTGGGGGCTCACCAGTTGTTCTTCTCCTGACACCATGATGATTGTGTGGCACATACAGCATTTGTCTCGCTAAGAAATCAACTCGCACGGCGTGATTCGCATGATAAGTAAGCTGTGGATTCCTTTGAAGTTTCTTTGCGGTGCGTAGGCGTTGGACCTTGGCTGGGATGCAGTGGCCTTGATGCTCTTTGCCACTTTGGAAGCACCCAAGCAACGACGAAAAACTCTGATAGATTGAAACGTGATGCGTTCAATTTGTTGGAAAGAACTGTGAAAACAGTCTTCGAGCCATGTCAGTTTCCAAGGACCGCGGTGCCTCCCTTGATAGCGACCTGGCTGCACAGGCCCGTGCACTACGCGCAGCTGTGGAGGGCATGGGCCCAAGTCTTCCTGCGAAAGGTCGACAATGAGACGCATGTGTTAGTATGATGCAATTGACCACATTGGCAAGTTGAGACGCATGTGTATGTCTCACATAGGGAGATGCTAGAGTCTGCCTTGCGGCGCACTGCCAGTATTGCTCAACTGAGGTGGACATCGTGAGTTGGCAAAGCGGTTGGTGGGCCACACTGGCTGTGTTTGGAGTCCGAAGTAGTGACTTTCCCACCGAACATAGAACTCTTCAGTTCAGATCCACTGAGATCCTTTTTTTGCAAACCTGTTATATAGATTTATATTATATAGTACAAAAGAGTACATGTATCTACAGTAGACCTTTCTTTCATACACCTTGGGCTTTTTGGGCAGCAATGCAGTTTTCTCGGTTTGAGTCACTTCACTGCCAGGGCAGATGGCGGAAGACCGGGATGCCTGGGCCAGGCCTGCGGCACCCGAGGCGCGCTGGGCGGTTACTGATGGGGCCATTCCACTTGTGAACACTTGATGACACATGCGCACACATTCGCACACACACAGGAGCAAGGACACTACTAGGGGCTCCTAGCCTTACTACTAGGAGCAAGGACGCTGCTAGGGGCTCCTAGCCTTACTACTAGGAGCAAGAAGCTACTAGGGGCTCCTAGCCCTACTACTAGGAGCAAGAAGCTACTAGGGGCTCCTAGCCTTACTACTAGGAGCAAGGACGCTACTAGGGACTCCTAGCCTTACTACTAGGAGCAAGGGCTACTAGGGGCTCCTAGCCCTACTACTAGGAGCAAGGACACTACTAGGGGCTCCTAGCCTTACTACTAGGAGCAAGGACGCTGCTAGGGGCTCCTAGCCTTACTACTAGGAGCAAGAACGCTACTAGGGGCTCCTACTCCTAGCCTTACTGCTAGGAGCAAGGACCCTACTAGGGGCTCCTCGCCTTACTACTAGGAGCAAGGACGCTACTAGGGCCTCCTCGCCTTACTCCTCGGAGCAAGGACGCTACTAGGGGTTCCCAGCCTTACTACTATACTACTAGGAGCAAGGACGCTACTGGGGGCTCCTAGCCTTACTACTATAGGAGCAAGGACGCTACTAGGGGCTCCTAGCCTTACTACTATAGGAGCAAGGACGCTACTAGGGGCTCCTAGCCTTACTACTA